AAAAATAAAATGATTAAATAATTTTAAGTACCTATATATATTGTTTGGAATATGTTGTTTACATATTTAAAATTTCATATGAATTGCTTTTGTTTTGAAAAAGTTATATGCGTTTATATTATATAAATAATATTCTAAAATTTTTTGTACCATACTGTATTTGATTTAGTTTTAGTTATAGTCAATTTTATTTTTTTTTTCAATTTTTTATATTCAAAAAATCAAAAGAATTTGCAAAATTTTCTGGGATGATAGGCAAAGCTGCTATCCAGCCTTATCTAGCACATTAATATTGATTTTGAATTTTTTTATAATATTAGTTAGATATTGATAAGTAGGTAAGTTAGCATTTAACTTTTCTGAAATAATGAAAGAGATGTTGTTTCTTTTAACGATGTATATACAAATTAAAATAAAGAAATGATATTTACCTACTGGAGAAACCCCCCCAAAAAATTAATCAATATTAACAAAATATAAAAACCAATTTATAATTAATAGCAAGTTTATATAATAGACAAATTAATTGATATAATATTTAAACTTTTTTTTAAAATCTTTTTCTATATTTTCAGAATAGAATAAATTATTAAGAAGGTATTATTTTTTCAAAATTAAATATTTCCTTTTTTTTTTCTTGCCCAAAGATTTTTTCTAGAAATATATAGAATATGATAATAGGCTGACATTTATAGCAATGTATTTACATCTTAATATTAACTATATAACAACTTTACTCTGCTAATAAAAATCATAAATAAATACTGTAAATATATGTATATAATTTCCAAGTTAACATTGTCAAATATTAAAAAGATTTTCAATACAAAGAAAATTTATTTTTATTTTTAAATTATTTATTATATATTTAATTTTCAATTGGTTTTTAATAGCAATCGTAACAATTATAAAATAACAAAATAGCCTTAAAGAAATATGAATCGTTTAATACTACTTTATAAGATGTTGTTATGCGTCAATAATATTAAAGAAACAAACGAGTAAAACTTGCATAATAAATTTCTATCAAATTATTATATGTATTTTTTTGTCATGACAATATTATGAACACTAAGTTTTATGTGTGTTTTTTTAAAAAAATCATTAAACACTAATATTAATGAAATTTTAGATGAATATAAAATATACGATACATTATGCGCATTGTGCACACTACGCGCACGATACACAAAAAAATCAAATACATAACATAACATCCCTTCCACTTTTAAGTGAAGTTGATGTAATCGATAATTTGCAATTGATAAGGAAAAAAAAACTCGAAAAAGGACATACAGTAGCAAAATCAACTGGTTTGGGGGTGTTATCATAACTACTAATTCATACAAGATTTACACACAATATTTTATCTAAGCAATGACGGAAAAACCAATCACCAATAAAATTACATTTTTTTGTAAGAAAGGAAACCGAACATCATGAAATTAGTTCCAAAATGCAATTATGATTGTGACATCTCACCTTATACATTTGTGATGAGACCTTTGGTAATTCAATTGCCATAAATTGGAATTATTCTATAAGTAGCAAAGTTGATGGTTTTTCCGTACCTTAAAAAAAAAAAAAAGTGTGTAATTTCTATATCATTATTTACCATCATTTTCTTTTTATGACCATGACTACGTATCAGGTATAAGGACGCAAGTACATCTTCGTATCTTTCCACGCAGTAATTTATATTCCGAAAATTAATTTAAGAAATGTCATTCACATAAAAAGAGATTGAGTATATGGTATGTTAATTGATTGGGTCAATTCGTTTTAATTCGAGATACAGTAGAGACAATTGATACAGTAGGTGTATTACACAAAATTGGTACGCCGAATTGCACAATGACACATTTGAATATCGGAAAATTTCGGAAAGATCCGAGCACATACACAAGTTCCTACTTAAGAATTTAGTCATCAACAACTACTGTGATAATTAATACTTTAATATCGTCTAATGAAATTGATATATTGTACTATCGAGGGGTGCGGACTGTCATAAATCAGGATAAAGACATTGCCTTTTATTATGGAAAAAATGAGGACAACTCGCATTAAATCATACAGTTTATGTTATTTTCTTTAAAATGTTAATCAATACAACCTTTCCCCAAGGAAAGGAACAAAGAGATGCTAGCATGCTGCATTAGAGAACAATGTGATGAATAGTATCTTCGGATCTATCGTTTACGCCCAATAAATTCTAGAGTAAGTATGATGATGTTGATAAAGTTTTCAGAAATAAAGATGAATATCGGCTGTTATTATATTTATAACATTGTGCTACTGCTTTGAGTTCTAAACACATGATATCGTATGAAATTCTGGGCCGGCATGCACATAGTCACACTACACTATCACTTTATCTGCATAAAGTCCGTGATTCCGACCTACCTTTATCTCCGAATAGTAGTAATCTGAAACCTAGAATCAGTGGTGTCCGTGACATTCATGGTCGTCCTTACATCATCCATGCATTTCAAGATCTGCATATAAATCGAATGAATTTACTGTATCATGTTTATGATAAGCCGAGTGATATTGACGCGTCTTTATAGAACTAAACAAAAGTGGCGAGATCATCCCCAGGTCTAAAAAGAGTAATTATAAAAGAGAAACACATGTGTCATGAGGTGTCATTGTTTAAGCACCACTTTTGTATGGTGTCTCGGAGATAACACAAATTATGAAACCATGTATCCAATTACTTTATAAAGTATGCATTTATACGATGTGTGTAATATCAAATCTTCTAACTCATAAGTTTGTACGTGCATATTTTTTTATTTTACTTATAAGGAAATTATAAGATGAAAACGTTAAAGTCTCTATTGTGAATCATAATTACATAATTGATCTTAATTACAATTTGATCCATAGATGTACTGTATGAAGCTACTGCTTAAATCGAATAGAATGGTTTGCTAAACAGCAAAATCACAAGACATATGATGTTCCTCTATCGATGCCAATTTCATGTTTAGAACAAATTGGGTAAAAAAACTTCGGGTAGTCCTAGATAAGTAGTGTTTATTAATAATTGTAATTCTTCAAAGGTAAGGGGAGGCGTCCCCTGAATAGGTGATGTCATCTCGGGAATGACCGGCTCCATTTCTAATGGTGACTTTGATGTCGTTGAATTTGATGATGATTTTTTTGTGATTTCTTCAGACACTGAAAAAACGTATGGTCGATACAATTCCGTCTTACGATTACTTTTGGAAGAAGATGAACGATACTTAAATTCAGGGTATCGGTGAGTATGTAAATTGACAACTCTTGCAGCTAATCTTTCATATTCTTCTTTCTCGTCTGACGAAGCACTGCGCCACAACATTCCTGTTACTTTGCTGATCACTCTCATGTTACAGATTCCTCGTTGCTTTGCTTGGTTGTGAACGTTTTTACGACAAATCAAAAAGCCATTAGGTGGTCTTGGTGGTCTGGTGTTAAATTTTTTGGAAATGTTAAGTAACTCTTCGGGTTCACTTAGGTGAGGCGGAAAAATTAATGATCGATCGATTTTTTCGATCAACGAAATTGCCAGATCATTCAGTGAAGAATATTCTAAAGACATTTTTTGTGACCTTTTATGATTCGAATATATATATATAACTGTGTGAGATACTGGCTGAGCATGTAGACGGGAGCTTCTTTATATACGAGAAAGTTTCAATGAGACAATTGTTACACGCGATCAGTCATTGAATACAAGGATATGCACAGAAAATCAATTACCGTATCATAAACATGTAAACTTTCAATTGCTACTTTCGATTGTTCCCATGCTCAATGAGTCATTGATATGTACCTTGCTTTGGTCTTTCATGGCTGTTTCAGAAAATCATTATTGACGCGTGATAAAAGAAGCTTATCCTTTCTATATGTAGTGTTATGTTCAATAAAGCTATAATGGCATTCGCGAATGCCCCATGCATAATAGAGGTTTCTATGGAAGACAATGGTCCATGGAATAATAACGGGAATTTCTTCTCCATATAGAGAACAGTAGGACGACTCCAGGTTACGAGATTTCATTTTTGGAATTTGAAATAATACAGCACTAATATCTACTTTTTTTTTCTTTTTTTTTTCTTTGTCAAGTAACATGCATTGAATTCCGTGTTGCAACTCGATGTGAAGACTGCAGTAAATAAATATGTACGAGAAATTTAAATCGAATCAAGATAAGCTATCTACTATTAACACAATTTATGTGCAAATAGAGTATATTTAAAGATCGAGATGGAATTTTTAAACTTGATCTTGACCGGGATTCAAGACATCAAGAACATTCCATCCAGATTCTATAATGCGCATTGACTTGATACCTTTCTTCTGATGTATGATCACAACTATACATTCTTGTGACCTATACAAATATTGGGACATAGAATAATAACAAAATAAGTATACAGTGTATACCTAATATATTTGATAAATTAATACACGGCATACGTCCAATAATTGCTAAACTTTATAGAGATTGTAATAGGGTATGCGCAGCAGAAAATGCTAATTAAGGTCACAGTAAATACTTACAGAAACGGAAGTTTTGTTTTTCAAAACCATGATTGAGCATTTGCTTTTAGCAGAAACGTTTATTAGATTTAGGAAAAGATGATTCATGAAATTTATTATTTGTTTTTTTTACACTGCAAATTTCATTGAGCATAAAAAAAGACAACTTGGATGAAAGCAACAAATTTTAATGTGCAATAACCTATCTTATTGACACCAAACACTTGTAGTTGTTGAGATCTTTGCTAAATCTTGGTTGATTTGATTTGTTAATTGTATTAATTTATAATCGTAATTTATACTGCACATTATATTCTTGGCAACATGTGTTGTGTAACAATCAAAGAGCGGGTTTACTTGGTCGATGTGCAAGTAAGCATCAATGACTAAAATGGAACACCAACAGTATGACTGTGATCATTCTTTTTTAGGAAAATTTGTTTTCTTTATTATCGTCACTAAATCTTTCTTGATAGATACATTTCGATTCTTATAGAGTTCAAGAACGCAGACATGTTGCAAAGCCACAATCTAATGTGGCGATAACGCTTACTGTGCCCCTTATTTCCCCCTTGGGCTAAACAATCATTTATATCTAATGATATCTATGTGAAATTCAAAAATGTTAATGGGCGATTTAATTCGGATTTTGACAACTAACATTCCATAAAAGAACTCCGTAACTAAAGATTTACGATTTTTGTTCCTTTTAAATTTATCAAATCAATATGCTGCATTTTATTATTCTTCTAGGATTTTCCACAGCCATTATTACCATTATACTATTATGTACAAAAGTGTCATTAGGATTCCGAATAAGGAGAATGAACGTAAACATTGATGCAGAATGACCAAATATACCTGTAATGGTTATTGTGCCGGATCTTTAACGGATATTGTTTTCTTAATGTAGGTCAACATATCCTTATCCATTTTCCTATTTAAGTGAATCTAGTGTTCTGACAAAATTCTGTATACGTTCACGAGGACTGTACAGTATTTATCCTATTAGATCTATAAATTTTTTACCCGAAGAATGAAATTGCACCAGAGTTTAAACGATATGAATAAAAGGTCTATTTGATTTTTAATACCGTGATTGATATTGAAGGTTGTAGCAAACGTTTATCTTGTTTCTTCAATTGACTTTACATAGAAATTCATTGAAGATTCTCTGGTTTCGACTTAAGTATCGTTTTTCTGGTATTCAACGCAATCTTTCTTTAAAATTCCCCAGTTCTGCGTATTCTGCAATGCCACAACCACCTATTCTGATTTCTTCAATAACAGAAATTGATTGTAATATACTTTAACATCTCTTGTTGCATTTTTTAATCACATAATCTTAAATTACACACTGAATATGGATTTCAATACACAACACATTAATAAACCTATGAATTTAATAAAAGGTTTCTTTTTTTTTCCTTTCCATTATTTCCTTCATTCTTTATTTCTTTAATTTATTTCTTTATTATTTTTGCTATTTTCATGTTTCTTGAATATTAAGGAATTTAAGCTTCGATATTTCCGCGGTGACTAATAACATCACAAATTTTCATTTGCATATTGAGAATAGAGCTGTTATTGGAATACGCATTCCGTGTCATTATATAATTTTTTACTTCACTCCGGAGTATAATAATGTACAGTCACGGGCTGCATCGCCATTTCATTCTCTATAAGGTATGACTCGGAGCAAATGTACTTACCCGATAAAAACAATTGCACAAGAAATATATATTGTATTTACCAAATAAGTGTTTTTACATGAATAGCTTATTTTCCGAATGACTTTATGATTTCGTTATTCTGGTGCTATTTCTGCACTGAAACCTTGCGCCGTATAACTTCTTAAAAGATTCGATGACTCATATGATTCACAAAGAGGATAAGCATTTAATAATTTTTACATTTGATTAAATGGGTATATGGTATTTTAATTTACAGTGTGCATGTTGCAACAGGTTAAACGGGAGTCAGGCATTAACCTGACCGAAATCCTAGTTTCTATTAAAAATGACCCGTCCGGTAGGTGTTTTTATCCGGCATTTTATATGAAGCCATATAATTGTATGTATTTAAAATATTCACCAATAATTCAAGTAATTTGTATTCATTTGCGCATTTATTTATACTGTATATTTCATTTTATATATTATATAAGCTATCTAATAATATATATTTTAACCGATTACTAATTTTATTGTTTATTTACTAATATTATAAATATTGCATTTTTTATAATAAGGATTGTGAATCACAGTTTTTTGTTTTTCTCTTGAAAAATCAATGCTTTCTGGATCACATAATTCTGATGCTTGTATGAATTCTTTATGTACCTAAAATTAAATTATAAAAATTGGGTAGTTTGTTATTATTTATTAAGTTGTTTTTTGTGTTTTATCAAGGTTGATTAGATTTTTTGCTTAGTTGATTTTTATTATTTCTTTTGTATTTGAAGTTTTGTAATATATCAAGAAAGTTTTTCTTTATATCTTTGAATTCAAATATAAGATAAATGAATTCAACTATTTCATTTTGGATTTTATTAAGGAATTTGAAATCTTGTGAATTGATTAAGTTGTAGTGTGCCTATTGTAAAGTTAATTAGATAAATAATGATATTAATTGTTCCTTGAGCTAGATTAGAACCAAAGTTTTAATTATTTTTTAATTTATTAATAGCAAGATTTAATTATAAATATATTTTGTTTACAAAGTTAAAGTTAGTAAATAGTTTCTGGAAAAAAGTTGTAACATAAACATGTATTGTTTGTATAAACATGTAATAATATAATATAAAGATAAAATTTGATTAAAAGTGTATTAAAAAAACTTTAAAATAATATATATATATATTGAATTAATATTGAATAATTAATATTAACATGTTTTTAAAAAAATTAAATATTAGCAATAGTAAAACATCTAATTTGAATATTAATTATATTTATTGGAAGTACATTATTTTTATAGAGTATATAGTTTTGTTTATTTGATTAAAATATTGTCTTGTTAAAGAAGTAGAATTTTTGTTTATATCAATAAATATGAGATATATTAATAAAAACTTATTTATATTAATTTGCAATAGTTGCAAATTAGTTAATTATATTTTTTAAATAATAAAAATAGATTTATAAAAAGTATAAAAGATTAAAAAAAAAACTCTCTCCTGATCGCGTCTGTTTTGTTAAAAATTTTCCTTTTATGGTAATTTTAAGCAAGAAAA